GCCGCGGAAGGAGACACTCTTTTGAACACATAATGTTTTGGGAAGAGAAACGTTTTATTTCGCTGGCTCTAAAAACCTGTCGGACTACTTTCGGCTTGACCAAAACTGGACGATAACTCTGCTCACAGGACGCTGCCAAGGATAAGTCAGCGTGATTGCATGCCGCTGGTGATGGGGATGCCATACAGATTCATGTCAAAAATACCGAACTATCGCTTTAAAGTATTGTACATCCATGGTCACTAGATGAGCAGATATATCCCAGAATCCTTTGCAGGAGTTCTTCTCGCAAAGCATGGGATTTGTTTCGGGCCGACAGAGAGCAAAGATGGCGCATTGAGTCATGTAACTAAACTGGGATGGGAAAGTAGTGATCATCTGTGAACGGTCAGTTATCTGAGTTCACTATAAGGTCCACTTTATAGAAGTGATGGAGGGGTCAGGGGTTACTGCGGTCGTTCGGACAGTCTCTTCGTTTCGTTTTTTTACATTTCCTCTCTGAATCTTCTGTTGTTTCTCTGCAGTTTGACGCTCTGAAGACTCCAGGAACTGAAATCATTTCCCATCAGGCCATGCTCCCCACACTCAACAAAGACTACAACTCTACTGGACTACAACTATGGAAGCCTGTGTTGATATGAGCAGTGCTCACAATGTTTCTCTGAATGTACAGAACCTCAGCAGTCATGTGTGACGGTGTCTGATTGTGTGTCGTCAGTGTGTGATTGTGTGTGTGCTCAATAAACTGAGGGTGTTTTTTTCTAACTTCTTGTCCGTCTGGTCTTCTTTGATGATCTTCTCACTTATTGGAGATTTAAACCTCAGAGTCCAGGTTATTCAACATCCCAGCAGAACTATGGTCTAAACTTCAGAATGGTTCTGACTCATTCAGACCCATCCAGGTTCTCTTCCCTGAGGTTCAGGTTTGATTGGTGGATTGATGGATCCACCGTTTTCAGCAGAACAACCCCTGAAGCTTAAGCTGGGTTCCTCTTTGTTCTAAAATCCTTCTGTCAACATGTGATCCAGCTTGATGTGAAACAGATCAGATGTTTTCTGACAGGAAAGAGGCTAATCATGGCAGCTGTATTGGTTTAAATATGGCTGCCTGAAAGACACCTGGTTGGAGGCTCAGAAACGGGCTCCTAATGGGTTTAATCAGAGTAAAATTTGGTTCTGTATAGTTCTGATGAACCTGCATAGGGGTTACAGTCAATTTCCTTTATGGGTGCTGAGGATAGTTCCCCTCAGAATCCACCTCCAAAGGCTGAATCCATGTGATTAATGAACAGTGCCACCTTGTGGCTGAGTTGCAGAGTTCATAATTGCAGGGAGCAGAGGGACACCAGGGACACACACTGGTTAATTGGCAATCTTTTGGGGGAAAACCTGGTCTGATTTAGGGAAAAGGCATCCATCTGTCTTTGACAGAATCCGGCTGAATTTCTTAGTCCCCCAAAACCCTGACAACCCAGGGTGCAGACCAGGAATCAAGGGCTGTAGTTTAACATAATTAAAATTAGAAAGGGATCCTTAAGTAGTAACTCAGGATAATCTAATAAAAAAATTTAAAAAAATCAAATTGGGGAAAAAGTTAAAACGATTAAATGTGGTTTATTTAACATAAGAACTTTCTTCAAATAGTCTTAATGATTTGTGATAATCCAATGGATTTATGTTTCCTTACATAAACTTTGCTGCAGTAAGAGGATTATGTGAGCATAAATGAGGCAACTCCCTCTTAAATTTTCAAATACCCAGAAATTCTTGGGAAGGAGGAGGAGTAGCAACAATCTTTCAGTGTGGCTTACTGATTAATCCAGAGTCATTATCTGAGGCCATGAGAATATCATTAGTGACTTTCACCAGAGCTGTTTCAGTGCTATGATGAGCTCTAAAGCCAGACTGAAACTCTTCAAAAAGTTCATTATGGTGTGAGTGATCGCAAACTTGTTTGGCAACTACTTTCTCAAGGATTTTAGATAAGAAAGGAAGATTGGATATAGGTATATAATTGACCAAGTCATCTGGGTCAAGGGACAGTTTCTTAAGTAAAGGTTTAATTACAGCAACCTTAAAAGTCTGAGGTACCTGAAGAATAGATACATGTAACAGGGAGAGATTAATCACATCCAAAACAGAGGAGGAGATCAAAGGGAATACCCCTAAAATAACCTGGTTGGCACTAGATCTAATATACAAGTAGAAGGTGAAGATGAAGTCAAGTATTGCTAACTCTGAAAGATCAACTGGATCAAAGCAGTCTAAACCCGGTTCAGATTCTATTGCTACCTCAGACGCTTCCTCACCTTCCAGAGATAAACCAATTGTAGTTAGAGGAGTGCTAATGATTTATTTTTAATAAGATCAATCTTATTTATAAAGGATTCCATAAAATCATTACTGCTAAGAGCAGGTGGATTCGATGGTTCAACAGAGCTATGGCTCTGGGTGAGTTTGGCAACTATATTAAAAATATTATTATTCTTTTTTTCTCTCTCCAATATATTTGATTGAATTTTCTCTTTTTTGATACAACAAAACTTACAGACAGCAAACTTAACCTTTTAACATTTACTGATACACACTTACATTGAATCATGCATTCACCATTTAAACCTGCATTTGTCGTATTCCAAAAATATACAAAGCCCTTTAGATTAAGGCAGAGACATAAAAAAGAAAATAAAGGGGCAATATATGAATAAAAACTGTATTCAACACATCCACTCAAAACTCCCAGCGTTGAGCTCCACTTTCAGTCCTTACAATCCTCATATATGGCTCCCATAGATTCTCAAAGTTCCGTTGTTTGCCCTTGGCAATGTATGATAGTTTTTCCAGTCCGAGTGAGCTTGCAACTTCTTTTCTCCAGAGTCCCATAGAGGGGGCTTCCATGCTCCTCCAGCATAGTGCAACAGATCTTCTGGCTTGAATAAGTCTGTGGTCTATCAATGTAGTTATCCTCCGCGATTGTTTAAATTATATTGGAAACATTCCTAGAACACAGATTTTAACCTCTAATGGGACTTTTACTTTAAGCAATTCAGATAGACGCCTAATAATCGAGGATTATTCTTATTCTCATCAATGAGGAGAAATATGCTGCTCCTGCTTTATAAAGGGTCCTCTTATACAGCAGTAAACTGTTTTTCCAGACAGGGTAGGATTCCCGTAGGCATGCAGAATGCCATTTTCTTTTCAGCTTTCTAGCATTTTGCTTTAGAGTGCGCAGCTCTGCATTAAACCAGAAGCACGCTTTCTGTTTTTAAAGTTTTCCTTTTTCAAACGGGCTGCGTGGTCTAAGGCAGTACACGGAGAGCTAGCAATCCCATCAACAAAATCATCAACCTGTGAAGGGGAATAAACTAAACATTTGCCCCATGCATTACTGCTCAGCAACAAGGAGGGGAAAGTAGACCATCAGATAATGATCTGCTAAAGTGAAACCCTATGTTTGGGGAAGAAACAATCTGTTAAAGTACATTCTGCTTCATTCTATCTCTGTTCTCCCACTCTGCAGAATCTATTAGTTCAATCTCTAACGTTCTGCTCTCTCTGCTTTTTCTCATAGTAGCTTCATCTGGTCTGTTCCTGTTTGGCTGAGACTCCATCCTGGAGAGAAATATCAGCTGTGCTGCTGCCATGAAGACATTTGATTATAGATGTTGGAGATCGGCCTGTTTTTCAGTGTAGTCCTGTTTCTCTGACTGTGACTAACTGGATGTGCTCTCTTGATCCTCTGACAGAAGTTAGAGTCTTTGGACCAGAGTCTTTGAAAAATAAGCTGATTAGTCGATAACTTCAGTTTGATGGGATTAAACTGATTTCAGATAATAAATTTAAAAATGATTTAAATTCCATATCAAAGCAGTTTCTAGTATTTCCTTCTTTCATCTGAGGAATATTGCAAAAATTAGAAATCTCCTGTCCAGGGTTGATGCTGAGAAACTAGTCCATGCATTTGTTACTTCAAGGCTGGACTATTGTAATTCTTTACTATCAGGAAGTCCACAAACTGTAGTTAAAAGC